ACAAGACAGCATGACATTCTGGTCTATCTACATCACATTGCACCATACATCCTGACATCCTGGCCTGTACATGTACAAGACAGCATGACATTCTGGTCTATCGTTGCACCATACATCCTGACATCCTGGCCTGTACATGTACAAGACAGCAAGACATTCTGGTCTATCGTTGCACCATACATCCTGACATCCTGGCCTGTACATGTACAATACAGTATGACATTCTGGTCTATCGTTGCACCATACCTCACGACATCCTGGCCTGTACATGTACAAGACAGCATGACATTCTGGTCTATCAGCGTACTATACATCATGACATCCTGGCCTGTACATGTACAAGACGGCATGACATTCTGGTCTATCGGTGTACCATATATCACAACATCCTGGACTGTACACATACAAGACAGCATCACATTCTGGTCTATCGGTGTACCATACATCACGACATCCTGGCCCTTACACATACCAAACAGCATAACATTCTGGTCTATCGGTGTACCATACATCACGACAACCTGGCCCTTACACATACCAAACAGCATAACATTCTGGTTTCGGTGTACCATACATCACCACATCCTGGCCCTTATACATACCATACATCATGACATTCTGGTCTATCTATGTACTATACATCGCGACATCCTGGCCCTTACACATACCAAACAGCATGACATTCTGGTCTATCGGTGTACCATACATCACGACATCCTGGCCCTTACACATACCATACAGCACGACATTCTGGTCTATCGGTGTATCATACATTACGTCATCCTGGACTGTGCACGAATAGTACAAGACAATATGACATTCTGGTCTATCGGTGTACCATACATCACGACAACCTGGCCCTTACACATACCAAACAGCATGACATTCTGGTCTATCGGTGTACTATACATCACGACATCCTGGCCTGTACATGTACAAGACAGCATGACATTCTGGTCTATCAGCGTACTATACATCATGACATCCTGGCCCTTATACATACCATACATCATGACATTCTGGTCTATCTATGTACTATACATCGCGACATCCTGGCCCTTACACATACCAAACAGCATGACATTCTGGTCTATCGGTGTACCATACATCACGACATCCTGGCCTGTACATGTACAAGACAGCATGACATTCTGGTCTATCGTTGCACCATACATCATGACATCCTGGCCTGTACATGTACAAGACAGCATGACATTCTGGTCTATCGGTGTACCATACATCATGACATCCTGGCCTGTACATGTACAAGACAGCATGACATTCTGGTCTATCGTTGCACCATACATCCTGACATCCTGGCCTGTACATGTACAAGACAGCATGACATTCTGGTCTATCGTTGCACCATACATCCTGACATCCTGGCCTGTACATGTACAAGACAGCATGACATTCTGGTCTATCGTGTGCACCATACATCCTGACATCCTGGCCTGTACATGTACAAGACAGCATGACATTCTGGTCTATCAGTGTACCATACATCATGACATCCTGGCCTGTACATGTACAAGACAGCATGACATTCTGGTCTATCGTTGCACCATACATCCTGACATCCTGGCCTGTACATGTACAAGACAGTATGACATTCTGGTCTATCGTTGCACCATACCATACAATCACATCCTGGCCTGTACATGTACAAGACAGCATGACATTCTGGTCTATCAGCTGTACATCATACATCATGACATCCTGGCCTGTACATGTACAAGACGGCATGACATTCTGGTCTATCGGTGTACCATATATCACAACATCCTGGACTGTACACATACAAGACAGCATCACATTCTGGTCTATCGGTGTACCATACATCACGACATCCTGGCCCTTACACATACCAAACAGCATGACATTCTGGTCTATCGGTGTACCATACATCACGACAACCTGGCCCTTACACATACCAAACAGCATAACATTCTGGTCTATCGGTGTACCATACATCACCACATCCTGGCCCTTATACATACCATACATCATGACATTCTGGTCTATCTATGTACCATACATCGCGACATCCTGGCCCTTACACATACCAAACAGCATGACATTCTGGTCTATCGGTGTACCATACATCACGACATCCTGGCCCTTACACATACCATACAGCACGACATTCTGGTCTATCGGTGTATCATACATTACGTCATCCTGGACTGTACACGTACAAGACAATATGACATTCTGGTCTATCGGTGTACCATACATCACGACAACCTGGCCTGTACACATACAAAACAGCATGACATTCTGGTCTATCGGTGTACCATACATCACGACATTCTGGTCTATCAGTGTACTATACATCACGACATCCTGGCCTGTACATGTACAAGACAGCATGACATTCTGGTCTATCAGCGTACTATACATCATGACATCCTGGACTGTACATGTACAATACAGTATGACATTCTGGTCTATCGGTATAGTATACATCACAACATCCTGCCCTGTACATGTGCAAGACAGCATGACATTCTGGTCTATAGGTGAACCATGCATCACGACATCCTGGCCTGTACATGTACAAGACAGCTTGACATTCTGGTCTATCGGTGTACCATACATCACAACATCCTAGCCTGTACACGTACAATACAGCAAGACATTCTGGTCTATCGGTGTACCATAAATCACAACATCCTGGCCTGTAAACATACAAGACAGCATCACATTCTGGTCTATCGGTGTACGATACATCACGACAACCTGGCCTGTACATGTACAAGACAGCATCACATTCTGGTCTATCGGTGTATTATACATCACGACATCCTGGACAGTACACGTACAAGACAGCATCACATTCTGGTCTATCGGTGTATTATACATCATGACATCGACTGGACAGTACATGTACAAGACAGCATGACATTCTGGTCTATCGGTGTACTATACATCACGTCATCCTGGACTGTACACGTACAAGACAACATGACATTCTGGTCTATCGGTGTACTATACATTACAAGATCCTGGACAGTACATGAACAAGACAGCGTGACATTCTGGTCTATCGGTGTACCATACATCACAATATCCTGGCCTGTACATGTACAATGCGGCATGACATCCTGGTCTATCGATGTACCATACATCACGACATCCTGGCCTGTACATGTACAATACAGCATGACATTCTGGTCTATCGGTGTACCATACATCACAATATCCTGGCCTGTACATGTACAATACGGCATGACATCCTGGTCTATCGGTGTACCATACATCATGACATCCTGGCCTGTACATGTACAATACGGCATGACATCCTGGTCTATCAGTGTACCATACATCACGAGATCCTGGACTGTACATGTATAAGACAGCATGACATTCTGGTCTATCTGTGTACCATACATCACAATATCCTGGCCTGTAGTACCATACATCACAATATCCTGGCCTGTACATGTACAATACGGCATGACATCCTGGTCTATCGATGTACCATACATCACGACATCCTGGCCTGTACATGTACAATACAGCATGACATCCTGGTCTATCGATGTACCATACATCACGACATCCTGGCCTGTACATGTACAATACAGCATGACATTCTGGTCTATCGGTGTACTATACATCCCGACATCCTGGCCCGTACACATATAATACAGCATATGACATTCTGGTCTATCAGTGTACCATACATCACGACATCCTGGACTGTACACGTACAAGACATCACGATATCCTGGCCCTTACACATACCAAACAGCATGACATTCTGGTCTATCGGCGTACCATATATCATGACATTATCAAGACAGCATAACATCACAATGCTTGCCACATCCCGGTTGACCCTGTTCACAATGTTACCATGCTGACTGTACCACGAAACACACTTGTAACTCATAGTACACCCCACTAGGTACACCTGTAACATAGTACACCTGTAACTCATAGTACACCCCACTAGATACACGTGTAACTCATAGTACACCCCACTAGATACACATTTAGCCCTTACTATGCCATGCTAGTGACACTTGTAACACACAGCACACCCCACCCACAACCCACAGAACATACCTCAAATGATACACTTGAGTGGGTGACAGGCATTGCTTTTATAGTTTTTTTAACAAAGTTTTCAGTTATATCACAGCAACATCAATGTGTATTTATATCACGGCACGTCAGCGAAATCAGCCTAAAGGGAGAGCAGCAAGAAATGTTACAGCTCTATTAAGACGAATCAATTATATTCCCAACCATTATAATTTCCACCCACTCCTAAGGGACATAACTCTGATCAGCAAAATAAAGATCCATTGATAACTGGTCTACACATCTTCATGAGAAGTACAACATATTACTGACATTCCTATACCAATGTATAATACTGAGACAATTTATGTGACATGGATATATCTGGTTGAAGCCACAAAATAAACAAGACAATTCAACAACAATATGGGCTGTTGATTAAACACAAAAGGGTACAGTTGACAATTCTCTTTCCATTCCAACGGGCAATTGTCATAACATAGATTTGTCATAGCCATTATTTGTGAGTTGACTTTGTTTACATGGCGCTACGGTCCCTACCTCATAGACAGGAGATTGTTTGGTCCTGCAGTTGGTAGAATGTGATGACAAAGCTTGGGTACTTCGTGTAGGGGGCGGGCTTGGAGCCATGTATTCCACAAACATGACATGAATGCACTGATTTCCTTACGTAAACAAACAGCATGGACTGGTGGGCCTGATCACCCAAAGGGACAGCATGTCTGCCGAAGACAGGCCCTCTTTCTTATCAGTTAGACAATTCTGAGACCACCTGCCGCCCACCGCTCTGCTGAAAACACTACGTAATATGACATCTGAGGGATTCACACGTGCACTTTGATTATGACGAAAAATCGTCAAATCGTACGCATTGACACAAAATCTTGATCGAGATCTTTCGCTCGGCGACCAAAACAGTTGGGTTTCTCTGGCATTTCTCGACTTACCTTCGTTTTCGTGACTATGTGGGAAGCCCTTTTAACCACAGCAAAGTTGCCTTTGCCGATTGTAGTTTCCATTTCATAGTATCCAACTCTTACTGGCCCACCAGAGCCGGAGATACCTCGGCTCGTCGACTTGGCGGCCGCCATTTTGTTTACCCTCTGAGATTACGCATGTACGTAGCCTCGAAACCAGAACGATTATAAGTATGTCAAACCCTCGACGCCATATTCTCTGGTAAATCCCCTTTATAAGGCGACCGGTTATTGCGTCACGACTTTATACACAACTTGTGCATACGTCAAACGTGTTGTGACAGTCACAGAAGGATGAACTCATGTGCAAATATCTTCAAAGATGGGCAATATAATTGACATGTGTGTAGTGCTTGACTGAATAACATCGACAGCTAGGAGGGAAAGAAATAAATAGCATAAAAAACCGGTTCCCGACCCCTAACAACCACCCCCACCCCCAACGCCACCCCCGCCAAAAAGAATTAAAATTAAAGAAAATAACAATAATAATTATAATTATAATCAACGATATTAGACAAATAAATTAAGACAGAAATGACTTTCTTTATAGAACTCGTTTCTATTTAAAGTTATTTATCTATTTATTTAGTGTAGTATTTATGTAGTGTGAACAACACTACCTACACTGAAGCCTTACAACACGATAACACTGACGCCAGTCTGAACATTGTCACCATGGGAACACAGTCGAGAGAGTGTGATGAATATATTTGTTCAACAATATTGCATGGCCATAGTTAACAACATGGACGGGCCGTGAAATCAACAATGTTCTGAAGCAAAAAGATACAAATATGTTTGATTCCACGTGCGCTTATTTGGTGGGGGATTCTTAATGGCAGGCTCCACCAGAGTGAGTGAGTTTAGTTTTACGCCGCTTTTAGCAATATTCCAGCAACATCACGGCCGGGGAACACCAGAAATGGGCTTCACACAATGTACCCATGTGGGGAATCGAACCCGGGTCTTCGGCGTGACGAGCCAACGCTTTAACCACTAGCGGCTACCCCACCGCCCCATGACTTTGTTAGCCAGCATGTAGTCTGTCATACAGACCCTGAAGCAAATATATCCAAGAAAGCCCACGCAAGTCTAGAAAATGTGGCAAGTCTAGATTTCCTCAGCTTCAATGAAGAAAGTCTCAGGGCTTCATTATATTATATTTTTCTTTACTATGAACATTTTTCAGTAAAATATGTTCATTTCAGAGACTAGTTGTTAGTCTAGCCAGCACGATGATTGTTCTATTGTTAAGTTTGCTGACGACGCAGATCTTGTAAGCCTGCTGAACAACACGGAGGACGCCTACAGACAGGAAATCGTGAATCCCACAAGCTGGTGTAAAGACAATCACTAACAGCTCAATGTGTCTAAATCTAAAGAGATGATTATTGATTTCAGAACACGTAAGCCTGTGCATTTACCAGTCACAGTCCATGGTTCAGGTGTTGAAATTGTCAAGAACTACAAATATCTTGGAACAATAATTGATGACAAATTGAACTGGAATGATAATACAGATGCTTTATGCAAAAAGGATCAGCAACGTTTATATTTCTTGCGGAAACTTCGCTCTTTACCTGTATATGTACATTGCTGTTGTTATATTAATCATAACTGTTTTCCCCGCATATTTTAACCTTTCTTCAATCATTTATTTTACAGTACATTTACCTGTGAGAAACGCTCTTATATTATATATTATATTTCCGTTACGGAAAGGGTCGAAAAGATCACGGACAATTACGAAAGTTACTATACGGTGTCTCTTGATTTTAAATCTACGGACAATTTACGTATGATCCGTATGCCATTTGACAGCTCTTCCCATTCCGCTATGTACAAGATCCGTGTTAGATTTGGTCTCCAGCAAACCCTGCTTGTCGTAAGAGGCGACTAACAGGATTGGGTGGTCAGGCTCGCTGACATGGCCGGTTGACACATGTAATCGTTTCCCAACTGCGTAGATCGATGCTCATGGTGTTGATCACCTAATTGTCTGGTCTATACTCGATTATTTGCTAGGGTTGCGCAATATAACCGGTTTACCGGTATTTACCGGTTCAGACATGAAAACGATACGTATTGCGATACGCTGATCGAAAACCGGTATTTTGACTTGCATTCAGAAAACTTCGTAACGCTCGGAAATCTTCGGATATTTCCTTGTTTCATTTGTGCCAAATATTATTTACATTTATATTTTGTCATGATTAAAAGTTTCTATTAAAGTTTAATCAAGCATAGTGATTTTGTTGTGTTCATGCTTTATAAATCAAGCATTAACTCGATTATAAGCAGTTTTTTGTTTAAAAATACTTCTTGCAATATATTGCAATACATATCGCAATATATGCTTTCGCATCGCAATATATCGCAATATGAACATTTTCTGCAATACCCACCCCTATTATTTACAGACCGCCGCGACTCACTCACTCACTCACTCACTCAACATTATGTTTGGTTTGATTTGTGTTGTGTTTAACGCGGCACTCAGCAATATTCCAGTTATACGGCGGAGGCCGTAGTAACCTCTTACGACAAGCATTGGTTACTGAAGATCAATTCCAACCCGGATCTTCACGTGCGGGTCTATAATGTTGGATGTTGACAACCGTAACCATGCAAGTCTAGAGAGTCTCCGGGCTCCTTTTCATGATATTCTATGACAATTTATTTTAGCCTTTCTTCCCCGTAAAATATATTAATTTCAGAGACTAGATGTAAGTCTAACTTACCTCATACAGCTGCGGGTATAGATCCAGCAGCTACATGTGGAGGTCATGGAATGTCTGTGACCGAACATGATTTTTATATAATTTACAGCAGCTGGTTCATATGCAAGTCAAAACATTCATTACACAACAGTCTCGTTTCCTGTTGACTGGGTCCCGTCTTATTGCGCAACTTAGTACAATAACTAGTCCAGAATTTTGGGACCAATTCATTTAACTGGATACATAATTATTAATTAATATTATTTGATACATCTAAGCACTTGTATATTGCAACACTACGCTCCTTCTAATCGTTGCAAACACGTCGTGCAGCGTGCTCTGTCGTACAGCGAGCTCAAACAAACGGAAACCTGGAAATCTCAAAACGAGGCTCTCCCGCTAGAAAAGTTTGGCTGTCTGGTACGGACTTGATATATCAATCACATTGTGCGTTACAGAACCACGCTGAATAAGCACAAAAAGCACATAACAGGTGTAACCAGTGAGCCAGATGCACTGTGAATCATTTTACGACCTCATCACACAGGGGCAGTCTGTGACGTCTTAGATAAGGTCATGCTGCCTACACTTCGCCATAAAATATAGAAATACGATGTTATTAAAGTTTAAAATTAAAATTCATTAGTGAATACCCATTTTCTTATTAAACAAGGAATTGGAATTCAGTGTAACCATAGTTGTTTACGATGTCTATTTTCACTTTCACACGAGAAAATCGGATCGGTTGAAAAGTAGGCCATTGTCTGAATAGGTTAATGAGACTCATGTTTCGGTTTGTTTCGCCTGATGTCAGTTGCGGTAAAACCGCCCACACCGTCCTGTTGGTGTGAAGGACGTACTGACATGGGTATTTTACGTGCGCTTCTCAGAGCTGCATTCCATCAGTTTACAATGAGTGAGCGAGTCTAGGTTTTCGCCGCTTTTAGTGAGTGAGGATGAGTTTAGTTTTACGCCGCACTCAGCAATATTCCAGCTATATGGCGGCGGTTTGTAAATTATCGAGCCTAGACCAGACAATCAAGGGATCAACATCATGAACATCGATGTACGCAATTGGGAACCGATGACATGTGTCAACCCAGTCAGCGAGCCTGACCACCCGATCCCGTTAGTCGCCTCTTACGGCAAACATGGGTTACTGAAGATCAATTCTAACCCGGACCTTCACGGGTCACGCAGCTTTTAGCAATATCCCAGCAATATCACGGCGGGGGACACCTGAAATGGGCTTCACACATTGTACCCATTTGGGTATCGAACCCGGGTATTCTGCGTGAGGAACCATCGCTTTAACCACTGGGCTACCCTACCGCCCCCATTAGAGCTTAAGGCGGCGACGTGTGATTGGTGTGTAACTCATCATATTGTCGCTTACTATAGACCGCTGTGATAGGCTGCCGTGTTACAAGTATAGACTGCATGATCTAAGCGTAGGCCGTTGAGACATAAATGTATATAATGTGACATAAGTGTAGACCGAAATGTTATAAGTATAGACTGCGTGATATAAGTGTAGACCTTTGTGCATATACGTGTAGACCTTTGTGATATAAGTGTACAGCTCCTGTAGACCTTTGTGATATAAGTGTAGACTGTTGTGATATAAGTGTAGACCGCTGTGATATAAGTGTAGACCTTTGTGATATACGTGTAGACCTTTGTGATATAAGTGTAGAGCTCCGTGACATAAGTGTAGACCTTTGTGATATAAGTGTAGACTGTCGTGATATAAGTGTAGACCTTTGTGATATAAGTGTAGACCTTTGTGATATAAGTGTAGATCTTTGTGATATCAGTGTAGGCTGTTGTGATATAAGTGTAGACCTCCGTGATATAAGTGTAGACCTCCGTGATGTAAGTGTAGACCTCCGTGATATAAGTGTAGACCTTTGTGATAGAAGTGTAGAGCTCCGTGGCATAAGTTTAGACTGTTGTGATATAAGTGTAGACCTCCGTGACATAAGTGTAGACCTTCGTGATATAAGTGTAGACATTTGTGATATAAGTGTAGACCTCCGTGATAAGTGACCTTTGTGATATAAGTGTAGACTTGTGTGATATAAGTGTAGACTGTTGTGATAGAAGTGTAGACCTCCGTGATATAAGTGTAGACCTTTGTGATATAAGTGTAGACCTCCGTGATATAAGTGTAGACTGTTGTGATATAAGTGTAGAGATAAGTGTAGTTGTGATATAAGTGTAGACCTTTGTGATATAGACCTCCGTGATATAAGTGTAGACCTTTGTGATATAAGTGTAGACCTTTGTGATATAAGTGTAGACCTTTATGATATAAGTGTAGACCTGATTTGTGATATAAGTGTAGACCTCCGTGATATAAGTGTAGACCTTCGTGATATAAGTGTAGAACTGTTGTGATATAAGTGTAGACCTCCGTGATATAAGTGTAGACCTTTGTGATATAAGTGTAGACCTTTGTGATATAAGTGTAGACCTTTGTGATATAAGTGTAGACCTTGTGATATATGTAAGTGTAGACCTCCTGATATACAGAGTGTGATATAGTGTAGACCTTTGTGATATAAGTGTAGACCTTTGTGATATAAGTGTAGACCTCTGTGATATAAGTGTAGACTGTTGTGATATAAGTGTAGACCTCTGTGATATAAGTGTAGACCTTTGTGATATAAGTGTAGACCTTTGTGATATAAGTGTAGACTGTTGTGATATAAGTGTAGACTGTTGTGATATAAGTGTAGACCTCTGCGATGTGACAGAAGTGTAGACCTCCGTGATATAAGTGTAGACCTCTGTGATATAAGTGTAGACTGTTGTGATATAAGTGTAGACCGTAGTGATATAAGTGTAGACCGTAGTGATATAAGTGTAGACTGTTGTGATATAAGTGTATACCTCCGTGATATAAGTGTATACCTCTGTGATATTAATGTAGACCTCTGTGATATAAATGTAGACCTCCGTGATATAAGTGTAGACGTTTGTGATATAAGTGTAGACCTTTGTGATATAAATGTAGACCTCCGTGATATAAGTGTAGACTGTTGTGATATAAGTGTAGACCTCCGTGATATAAGTGTAGACTGTTGTGATATAAGTGTAGACCTCCGTGATATAAGTGTGTAGAGACCTATGTGTGTGATATAAGTGCAGACCTCCTGTGATATGTGATATAAGTGTAGACCTCCGTGATATAAATGTAGACCTTTGTGATATAAGTGTAGACGTCCGTGATATAAGTGTAGACTGTTGTGATATAAGTGTAGACCTCCGTGATATAAGTGTAGACCTGTTGTGCTATAAAGTGATATAGACCTTTGTGTGATATAAGTGTAGACCTTGTGATATAAGTGTAGACCTCCGTGATATAAGTGTAGACTCCGTGATGTAAGACCTATAGAAGTGTAGACCTTTGTGATATAAGTGCAGACCTCTGTGATATAAGATATAAGTGTAGACGTTTGTGATATAAGTGTAGACCTTTGTGATGTAAGTGTAGACCTCCGTGATAGAAGTGAAATGTCACTGACCGATATGTATTGATTCGATGTACTGCAGTTTATTCCAGACAAAAAGGAGAATAATATAAAATACAAGAATGCAAACATGAAAATATTTTATTTGAAATCGAAATATTTTAATCTATGAACAGCTTATGAAACATAAATACAGTAAAACGAATAAATTATCTCAGTATATTACTATATAAATATGACGCGAAATGTACACAAACAAGAAGTGGATACTTGCATTATATAAAACATGGAAGTGAAATGTTCGTCGATACATTCATGCACAGAAAAAATTTGAATATGAAGGTATACTTCGTTGACACTCAAATGAGATTTATGAATGAGAGTCATTTTAACGTCACCGTTATTTCAATAATGTCACAGTGTTTGAGAGAAAATCACAAACGTCGTGATAACGTCAGACGTTTACCACTTGAACACGGATGCGGTTGTGACAAACTCGGAGAAATGACGACGGTGACCTGGAATTCGAACCGACAATTCTGACAAAGGGAGGCAACTCGTATCAGTCAGTTAGGTCAACCGTGCTTGGTGATGTATCTATAACCTGCTATATTTCTCATTGTAGACCGTTATGACGATCTTTACAAATAATCACGAACCATTACAGATTGTTAGTTTAACAGGACAATGAACTGATCCCAGGTGAAATTTGCGTTTGAACGTTGTCTGGTAGTATGTCTGGTGATGTATCTATAACCTGCTATATTTCTCATTGCAGACCGTTATGACGATCTTTACAAATAATCACGAACCATTACAGCTTGTAAGTTTAACAGGACAATGAACTGATCCCAGGTGAAATTTGCGTTTGAACGTTGTCTGGTAGTATGTCTGATCCTGGGTGTATTGCTCATGGACATGTTGATGAAAACAGAAGGCAGTTCTTGAGTGTGTCATCCCAGACGAGAGTTGGGGGACATGGACGGTTGTCTGTGAAGTGACCGTGAATACATGTTGCATACACACTGCAGGATTGGCAGGACTGGAAATTTCCATCCGTTTGACCGTCACAGTTCACGACACAGTTCGGGGATACAGTTGTAGATGGCGTAGGACTTGTGGCACTGGTTGCACTGGTTGCACTCGTGGCACTGGTTACACTGGTTGCACTCGTGGCACTGGTAGCGCTGGTAGGACTGGTGGCGCTGGTGGCACTAGTTGCACCCGTGGCGCTGATAGCGCTGGTTGGACTTGTGGCACTAGTGGCACTGGTAGGACTGGTGGCGCTGGTAGGGCTGGTAGGACTAGTGGCACTTGTAGCGCTGGTAGGGCTGGTAGGACTAGTGGCACTTGTAGCGCTGGTGCTTGTCGTTGTGCTGTAATTATAATAAATATATGAGTGAACTACACAATACAGTTTAAAGTCACTATATCCCACCACACTTCTCTAAAAATAAACAATGCACTTCTCTCAATAATACTAACTATCTATCAGCCCTCAAGGAAGCTATCATAGAATCTTTATGCATGGGTGTAAATATGAAACATATCAGGCGGTTTTATCTGCTATATGTCTGGTTTTAGGTGGATAAATCAGTAGAAGGAACGTCCTGATGTTCATTGGACAGTATCAGATACCGTAAACATCTTGACCAACTTATCTTGCTTTCACTTTGCCAATCAGATCACAAGTTCCTATTCATATGAATAATGAGTGTGTGAGTTTAGTTTTAAACCGCGTTTTAGCAATATTCCAGCAATATCACGGCCGGGGACACCAGAAATGGGCTTCAGACATTGTACCCATGTGGGGAATCGAACCCGGGTCTTCGGCGTGACGAGTGAACGATTTAACCACTAGGCTACCCCACCGCCCCGATTTGAATAAAAAAAAGATCGATAAGAAAGGGAACACGATTGTTGCCCATGTGGATGCTTGCTTCTTGCCTAAGTGTTTTACATAGATGTTATCAATGTCAGTGGTGTTAATAATGACCAAGGGGTGCGTCAAGGATGTTGTGTAAGTCCCATATTGTTTCGATAACAGTAGGGGCGCCGGGGTAGCCTAGTCGTCATGGAGTTTGCTCGGTTCAATTCCCCACATAGGTGCAATGTGTGAAGTTCATTTCTGGGGTCCCCACTGATATTGCTAGAATATTGGTAAATGTTGTTACACAGTTTAAATATTTAGAACAGCTGATCTATTCCAGAATGTATTATCTGGTAAACAAATGGCTCTCAAACACGTGAATACCATGCAGTCGTTTCAAGGAGATATCTGTCATGCTTGAAAACGGTATAAGCATCTATACCGAAACGTCGCAACTGTATAATAAAGAAGCTGATCATCCATAAACACTTGCCATTCCTATTGCTTACAACTTGTAGAATGCTCTCAAACAGTTAAAGGCGATACCTAGACTATAATACCAATAAAACATCATTAGCAATTTATTTAATAATTAGCTTTTATTTTAAAAGCACAATCTATTTCTTTCAATACACAACATGTAATTAGGCAGATTCGGGATTCCATCTCATGATAATTTTAGGTGATATGTAGGTCGTATTTTAGAGAGTGGCATGCTATTTTCTTTGATAGGTAAATTTCTCCAATGTAATTCTCAACGCTTCTGCTTGCATGCAAACAGCTGAATAGATGAACTTGTCCGGCTAATATGTGAGACTACTTGAAATGCTGGTTTATAAGCAATATCTGCAATATGTCCAAAAGTCTGATGATAATTACAAACTTGTACTTCTCAGGTTATATGTAAATAGGTCTTATCGCTGAGTGCAGAGAGGTATATTCTATGAAATGTGAGGCGTTTTCTTCAGTGGTCCCAAAATTTCTGAGTGGCATAATTAGACAGTACACGGCATTGCCGTCAACTGAAATGGAACATTTAACAAAAGGACTTAAACAAATTTAGGGAATAGTGTTTCTTACCATGAGGATGATGTGGAGGTACAGCTCTTGACAGTGTCGTCCCACACCAGACCTCCTGGGCAGGGTCTGTTGTCAATGATCCGCTCCCCGATACACGTGGCGTAGACGGTGCAGCCCAAACATGACTGGTAGTTTCCATCACTGATTCCTACACACGATGTCACACAAGGAGGTAGAGTTGTCGTCGCCGATGTTGCTGACGTTGGTGATGTAGATGACGTTGGTGATGTTGCAGACGTAGGAGACGTTGGTGATGTAGGTGATGTTGCAGACGTTGGTGATGTTGGTGATGTTGCAGACGTGGATGATGTTGCTGCACTTCGACTTGTGGCGCTAGTACGTCCTGTGTCACCTGTAGTGCCAGTCGGACTTGTGGCACTGGTTGGACTTGTGGCGCTAGTCGGACTTGTGGCACTGGTTGGACTTGTGGCGCTGGTTGGACTTGTGGCACTGGTTGGACTTGTGGCGCTGGTTGGACTTGTGGCACTGGTTGGACTTGTGGCGCTGTGGATGAGAAAAATCTTATATGGTTACGTACTTTATATAGCAAAGGTATTGTTAAATTCCGTGATGCTGCTTCTTTGTCTGTTACAGTTATCAGTGGTAACTTCCACTCATTTCAGTGCAACGATCTGTTCATTTCTTGGACATTGACGGATGTCCTCAAAAGCCTGTTAAAACTTGACGATGATTTGCAAGTATGCCCTGTAAATAGTTGAGAAAATCACCAAATGTCACAATGATATTTGACTCCGGGCCATTCTTCTTCATATCTGTCACTAGTTTGATGATAATTGCTGAGTATATATGAACATATCATATTCTTTTGCATTGACATTTTATGTCGTATTGTACATCTCTGATAATATGTATCCAGGTCGTATTTTTGAGATAGGCAGAGTATTGTCTGTGAAATGTTTGGTAGGTTTGTCTGATATGATTCCAAACCTATTTATGTTTTCTGATTGGTATATGTAAAGCTAAATAGACAAATAATACATGTTGATGCACAACATTGTCACCAACTGCAATGGGACATTAAACAAAATGATTTAAACAAACTTAGGGAGTAGTGTTTCTTACCATGAGGATGATGTGGAGGTACAGCTCTTGACAGTGTCGTCCCACACCAGACCTCCTGGGCAGGGTCTGTTGTCAATGATCCGCTCCCCGATACACGTGGCGTAGACGGTGCAGCCCAAACATGACTGGTAGTTTCCATCACTGATTCCTACACACGATGTCACACAAGGAGGTACAGTTGTCGTAGCTGATGTAGCTGACGTTGGTGATGTAGATGACGTTGGTGATGTTGCAGACGTAGGAGACGTTGGTGATGTTGGTGATGTTGCAGACGAAGCTGATGTTGCTGAACTCCGACTTGGGGAACTAGTACGTCCTGTGGCACTGGTTGGACTTGTGGCACTAGTTGGACTTGTGGCGCTGGTTGGACTTGTGGCGCTAGTCGGACTTGTGGCGCTGGTTGGACTTGTGGCACTGGTTGGACTTGTAGCGCTGGTCGGACTTGTGGCGCTAGTTGGACTTGTGGCACTAGTGGCACTGGTAGGACTGGTGGCGCTGGTAGGGCTGGTAGGACTAGTGGCACTTGTAGCGCTAGTAGGACTTGTTGCACTGGTGGGGCTAGTGGCACTAGTTGGGCTTGTTGCGCTGGTGGCACTTGTGGCGCTGGTAGGACTGGTGGCGCTGGTGGCACTAGTTGCACTCGTGGCACTGGTAGCGCTGGTTGGACTTGTGGCACTAGTGGCACTGGTAGGACTGGTGGCGCTGGTAGGGCTGGTAGGACTAGTGGCACTTGTAGCGCTAGTAGGACTTGTTGCACTGGTGGGGCTAAGTGGCACTAGTTGGGCTTGTTGCGCTGGTGGCACTTGTGGCGCTGGTAGGACTGGTGGCGCTGGTGGCACTAGTTGCACTCGTGGCACTGGTAGCGCTGGTTGGACTTGTGGCACTAGTGGCACTGGTAGGACTGGTGGCGCTGGTAGGGCTGGTAGGACTAAGTGGCACTTGTAGCGCTAGTAGTAGGACTTGTTGCACTGGTGGGGCTAGTGGCACTAGTTGGGCTTGTTGCGCTGGTGGCACTTGTGGCGCTGGTAGGACTGGTGGCGCTGGTGGCACTAGTTGCACTCGTGGCACTGGTAGCGCTGGTTGGACTTGTGGCACTAGTGGCACTGGTAGGACTGGTGGCGCTGGTAGGGCTGGTAGGACTAGTGGCACTTGTAGCGCTAGTAGGACTTGTTGCACTGGTGGGGCTAGTGGCACTAGTTGGGCTTGTTGCGCTGGTGGCACTTGTGGCGCTGGTAGGACTGGTGGCGCTGGTGGCACTAGTTGCACTCGTGGCACTGGTAGCGCTGGTTGGACTTGTGGCACTAGTGGCACTGGTAGGACTGGTGGCGCTGGTAGGGCTGGTAGGACTAGTGGCACTTGTAGCGCTAGTAGGACTTGTTGCACTGGTGGGGCTAGTGGCACTAGTTGGGCTTGTTGCGCTGGTGGCACTTGTGGCGCTGGTAGGACTGGTGGCGCTGGTGGCACTAGTTGCACTCGTGGCACTGGTAGCGCTGGTTGGACTTGTGGCACTAGTGGCACTGGTAGGACTGGTGGCGCTGGTAGGGCTGGTAGGACTAGTGGCACTTGTAGCGCTAGTAGGACTTGTTGCACTGGTGGGGCTAGTGGCACTAGTTGGGCTTGTTGCGCTGGTGGCACTTGTGGCGCTGGTAGGACTGGTGGCGCTGGTGGCACTAGTTGCACTCGTGGCACTGGTAGCGCTGGTTGGACTTGTGGCACTAGTGGCACTGGTAGGACTGGTGGCGCTGGTAGGGCTGGTAGGACTAGTGGCACTTGTAGCGCTAGTAGGACTTGTTGCACTGGTGGGGCTAGTGGCACTAGTTGGGCTTGTTGCGCTGGTGGCACTTGTGGCGCTGGTAGGACTGGTGGCGCTGGTGGCACTAGTTGCACTCGTGGCACTGGTAGCGCTGGTTGGACTTGTGGCACTAGTGGCACTGGTAGGACTGGTGGCGCTGGTAGGGCTGGTAGGACTAGTGGCACTTGTAGCGCTAGTAGGACTTGTTGCACTGGTGGGGCTAGTGGCACTAGTTGGGCTTGTTGCGCTGGTGGCACTTGTGGCGCTGGTAGGACTGGTGGCGCTGGTGGCACTAGTTGCACTCGTGGCACTGGTAGCGCTGGTTGGACTTGTGGCACTAGTGGCACTGGTAGGACTGGTGGCGCTGGTAGGGCTGGTAGGACTAGTGGCACTTGTAGCGCTAGTAGGACTTGTTGCACTGGTGGGGCTAGTGGCACTAGTTGGGCTTGTTGCGCTGGTGGCACTTGTGGCGCTGGTAGGACTGGTGGCGCTGGTGGCACTAGTTGCACTCGTGGCACTGGTAGCGCTGGTTGGACTTGTGGCACTAGTGGCACTGGTAGGACTGGTGGCGCTGGTAGGGCTGGTAGGACTAGTGGCACTTGTAGCGCTAGTAGGACTTGTTGCACTGGTGGGGCTAGTGGCACTAGTTGGGCTTGTTGCGCTGGTGGCACTTGTGGCGCTGGTAGGACTGGTGGCGCTGGTGGCACTAGTTGCACTCGTGGCACTGGTAGCGCTGGTTGGACTTGTGGCACTAGTGGCACTGGTAGGACTGGTGGCGCTGGTAGGGCTGGTAGGACTAAGTGGCGCTTGGCGTAGCGCTAGTAGGACTTGTTGCACTGGTGGGGCTAGTGGCACTAGTTGGGCTTGTTGCGCTGGTGGCACTTGTGGCGCTGGTAGGACTGGTGGCGCTGGTGGCACTAGTTGCACTCGTGGCACTGGTAGCGCTGGTTGGACTTGTGGCACTAGTGGCACTGGTAGGACTGGTGGCGCTGGTAGGGCTGGTAGGACTAAGTGGCACTTGTAGCGCTAGTAGGACTTGTTGCACTGGTGGGGCTAGTGGCACTAGTTGGGCTTGTTGCGCTGGTGGCACTTGTGGCGCTGGTAGGACTGGTGGCGCTGGTGGCACTAGTTGCACTCGTGGCACTGGTAGCGCTGGTTGGACTTGTGGCACTAAGTGGCACTGGTAGGACTGGTGGCGCTGGTAGGGCTGGTAGGACTAGTGGCACTTGTAGCGCTAGTAGGACTTGTTGCACTGGTGGGGCTAGTGGCACTAGTTGGGCTTGTTGCGCTGGTGGCACTTGTGGCGCTGGTAGGACTGGTGGCGCTGGTGGCACTAGTTGCACTCGTGGCACTGGTAGCGCTGGTTGGACTTGTGGCACTAAGTGGCACTGGTAGGACTAATTGGCGCTGGTAGGGCTGGTAGGACTAAGTGGCACTTGTAGCGCTAGTAGGACTTGTTGCACTGGTGGGGCTAGTGGCACTAGTTGGGCTTGTTGCGCTGGTGGCACTTGTGGCGCTGGTAGGACTGGTGGCGCTGGTGGCACTAGTTGCACTCGTGGCACTGGTAGCGCTGGTTGGACTTGTGGCACTAGTGGCACTGGTAGGACTGGTGGCGCTGGTAGGGCTGGTAGGACTAGTGGCACTTGTAGCGCTAGTAGGACTTGTTGCACTGGTGGGGCTAGTGGCACTAGTTGGGCTTGTTGCGCTGGTGGCACTTGTGGCGCTGGTAGGACTGGTGGCGCTGGTGGCACTAGTTGCACTCGTGGCACTGGTAGCGCTGGTTGGACTTGTGGCACTAGTGGCACTGGTAGGACTGGTGGCGCTGGTAGGGCTGGTAGGACTAGTGGCACTTGTAGCGCTAGTAGGACTTGTTGCACTGGTGGGGCTAGTGGCACTAGTTGGGCTTGTTGCGCTGGTGGCACTTGTGGCGCTGGTAGGACTGGTGGCGCTGGTGGCACTAGTTGCACTCGTGGCACTGGTAGCGCTGGTTGGACTTGTGGCACTAGTGGCACTGGTAGGACTGGTGGCGCTGGTAGGGCTGGTAGGACTGAAAGTGGCACTTGTAGCGCTAGTAGGACTTGTTGCACTGGTGGGGCTAGTGGCACTAGTTGGGCTTGTTGCGCTGGTGGCACTTGTGGCGCTTGTTGCGCTGGTAGGACTGGTGGCGCTGGTGGCACTAGTTGCACTCGTGGCACTGGTAGCGCTGGTTGGACTTGTGGCACTAGTGGCACTGGTAGGACTGGTGGCGCTGGTAGGGCTGGTAGGACTAGTGGCACTTGTAGCGCTAGTAGGACTTGTTGCACTGGTGGGGCTAGTGGCACTAGTTGGGCTTGTTGCGCTGGTGGCACTTGTGGCGCTGGTAGGACTGGTGGCGCTGGTGGCACTAGTTGCACTCGTGGCACTGGTAGCGCTGGTTGGACTTGTGGCACTAGTGGCACTGGTAGGACTGGTGGCGCTGGTAGGGCTGGTAGGACTAGTGGCACTTGTAGCGCTAGTAGGACTTGTTGCACTGGTGGGGCTAAGTGGCACTAGTTGGGCTTGTTGCGCTGGTGGCACTTGTGGCGCTGGTAGGACTGGTGGCGCTGGTGGCACTAGTTGCACTCGTGGCACTGGTAGCGCTGGTTGGACTTGTGGCACTAGTGGCACTGGTAGGACTGGTGGCGCTGGTAGGGCTGGTAGGACTAGTGGCACTTGTAGCGCTAGTAGGACTTGTTGCACTGGTGGGGCTAGTGGCACTAGTTGGGCTTGTTGCGCTGGTGGCACTTGTGGCGCTGGTAGGACTGGTGGCGCTGGTGGCACTAGTTGCACTCGTGGCACTGGTAGCGCTGGTTGGACTTGTGGCACTAGTGGCACTGGTAGGACTGGTGGCGCTGGTAGGGCTGGTAGGACTAGTGGCACTTGTAGCGCTAGTAGGACTTGTTGCACTGGTGGGGCTAGTGGCACTAGTTGGGCTTGTTGCGCTGGTGGCACTTGTGGCGCTGGTAGGACTGGTGGCGCTGGTGGCACTAGTTGCACTCGTGGCACTGGTAGCGCTGGTTGGACTTGTGGCACTAGTGGCACTGGTAGGACTGGTGGCGCTGGTAGGGCTGGTAGGACTAGTGGCACTTGTAGCGCTAGTAGGACTTGTTGCACTGGTGGGGCTAGTGGCACTAGTTGGGCTTGTTGCGCTGGTGGCACTTGTGGCGCTGGTAGGACTGGTGGCGCTGGTGGCACTAGTTGCACTCGTGGCACTGGTAGCGCTGGTTGGACTTGTGGCACTAGTGGCACTGGTAGGACTGGTGGCGCTGGTAGGGCTGGTAGGACTAGTGGCACTTGTAGCGCTAGTAGGACTTGTTGCACTGGTGGGGCTAGTGGCACTAGTTGGGCTTGTTGCGCTGGTGGCACTTGTGGCGCTGGTAGGACTGGTGGCGCTGGTGGCACTAGTTGCACTCGTGGCACTGGTAGCGCTGGTTGGACTTGTGGCACTAGTGGCACTGGTAGGACTGGTGGCGCTGGTAGGGCTGGTAGGACTAGTGGCACTTGTAGCGCTAGTAGGACTTGTTGCACTGGTGGGGCTAGTGGCACTAGTTGGGCTTGTTGCGCTGGTGGCACTTGTGGCGCTGGTAGGACTGGTGGCGCTGGTGGCACTAGTTGCACTCGTGGCACTGGTAGCGCTGGTTGGACTTGTGGCACTAGTGGCACTGGTAGGACTGGTAGGACTAGTGGCGCTGGTAGGGCTGGTAGGACTAGTGGCACTTGTAGCGCTAGTAGGACTTGTTGCACTGGTGGGGCTAGTGGCACTAGTTGGGCTTGTTGCGCTGGTGGCACTTGTGGCGCTGGTAGGACTGGTGGCGCTGGTGGCACTAGTTGCACTCGTGGCACTGGTAGCGCTGGTTGGACTTGTGGCACCAGTGGCACTGGTAGGACTGGTGGCGCTGGTAGGGCTGGTAGGACTAGTGGCACTTGTAGCGCTAGTAGGACTTGTTGCACTGGTGGGGCTAGTGGCACTAGTTGGGCTTGTTGCGCTGGTGGCACTTGTGGCGCTGGTAGGACTGGTGGCGCTGGTGGCACTAGTTGCACTCGTGGCACTGGTAGCGCTGGTTGGACTTGTGGCACTAGTGGCACTGGTAGGACTGGTGGCGCTGGTAGGGCTGGTAGGACTAGTGGCACTTGTAGCGCTAGTAGGACTTGTTGCACTGGTGGGGCTAGTGGCACTAGTTGGGCTTGTTGCGCTGGTGGCACTTGTGGCGCTGGTAGGACTGGTGGCGCTGGTGGCACTAGTTGCACTCGTGGCACTGGTAGCGCTGGTTGGACTTGTGGCACTAGTGGCACTGGTAGGACTGGTGGCGCTGGTAGGGCTGGTAGGACTAGTGGCACTTGTAGCGCTAGTAGGACTTGTTGCACTGGTGGGGCTAGTGGCACTAGTTGGGCTTGTTGCGCTGGTGGCACTTGTGGCGCTGGTAGGACTGGTGGCGCTGGTGGCACTAGTTGCACTCGTGGCACTGGTAGCGCTGGTTGGACTTGTGGCACTAGTGGCACTGGTAGGACTGGTGGCGCTGGTAGGGCTGGTAGGACTAGTGGCACTTGTAGCGCTAGTAGGACTTGTTGCACTGGTGGGGCTAGTGGCACTAGTTGGGCTTGTTGCGCTGGTGGCACTTGTGGCGCTGGTAGGACTGGTGGCGCTGGTGGCACTAGTTGCACTCGTGGCACTGGTAGCGCTGGTTGGACTTGTGGCACTAGTGGCACTGGTAGGACTAAGTGGCGCTGGTAGGGCTGGTAGGACTAGTGGCACTTGTAGCGCTAGTAGGACTTGTTGCACTGGTGGGGCTAGTGGCACTAGTTGGGCTTGTTGCGCTGGTGGCACTTGTGGCGCTGGTAGGACTGGTGGCGCTGGTGGCACTAGTTGCACTCGTGGCACTGGTAGCGCTGGTTGGACTTGTGGCACCAGTGGCACTGGTAGGACTGGTGGCGCTGGTAGGGCTGGTAGGACTAGTGGCACTTGTAGCGCTAGTAGGACTTGTTGCACTGGTGGGGCTAGTGGCACTAGTTGGGCTTGTTGCGCTGGTGGCACTTGTGGCGCTGGTAGGACTGGTGGCGCTGGTGGCACTAGTTGCACTCGTGGCACTGGTAGCGCTGGTTGGACTTGTGGCACTAGTGGCACTGGTAGGACTGGTGGCGCTGGTAGGGCTGGTAGGACTAGTGGCACTTGTAGCGCTAGTAGGACTTGTTGCACTGGTGGGGCTAGTGGCACTAGTTGGGCTTGTTGCGCTGGTGGCACTTGTGGCGCTGGTAGGACTGGTGGCGCTGGTGGCACTAGTTGCACTCGTGGCACTGGTAGCGCTGGTTGGACTTGTGGCACTAGTGGCACTGGTAGGACTGGTGGCGCTGGTAGGGCTGGTAGGACTAGTGGCACTTGTAGCGCTAGTAGGACTTGTTGCACTGGTGGGGCTAGTGGCACTAGTTGGGCTTGTTGCGCTGGTGGCACTTGTGGCGCTGGTAGGACTGGTGGCGCTGGTGGCACTAGTTGCACTCGTGGCACTGGTAGCGCTGGTTGGACTTGTGGCACTAGTGGCACTGGTAGGGCTGGTAGGACTAGTGGCGCTGGTAGGGCTGGTAGGACTAAGTGGCACTTGTAGCGCTAGTAGGACTTGTTGCACTGGTGGGGCTAGTGGCACTAGTTGGGCTTGTTGCGCTGGTGGCACTTGTGGCGCTGGTAGGACTGGTGGCGCTGGTGGCACTAGTTGCACTCGTGGCACTGGTAGCGCTGGTTGGACTTGTGGCACTAGTGGCACTGGTAGGACTGGTGGCGCTGGTAGGGCTGGTAGGACTAGTGGCACTTGTAGCGCTAGTAGGACTTGTTGCACTGGTGGGGCTAGTGGCACTAGTTGGGCTTGTTGCGCTGGTGGCACTTGTGGCGCTGGTAGGACTGGTGGCGCTGGTGGCACTAGTTGCACTCGTGGCACTGGTAGCGCTGGTTGGACTTGTGGCACTAGTGGCACTGGTAGGGCTGGTAGGACTGGTGGCGCTGGTAGGGCTGGTAGGACTAGTGGCACTTGTAGCGCTAGTAGGACTTGTTGCACTGGTGGGGCTAGTGGCACTAGTTGGGCTTGTTGCGCTGGTGGCACTTGTGGCGCTGGTAGGACTGGTGGCGCTGGTGGCACTAGTTGCACTCGTGGCACTGGTAGCGCTGGTTGGACTTGTGGCACTAGTGGCACTGGTAGGACTGGTGGCGCTGGTAGGGCTGGTAGGACTAGTGGCACCTTGTAGCGCTAGTAGGACTTGTTGCACTGGTGGGGCTAAGTGGCACTAGTTGGGCTTGTTGCGCTGGTGGCACTTGTGGCGCTGGTAGGACTGGTGGCGCTGGTGGCACTAGTTGCACTCGTGGCACTGGTAGCGCTGGTTGGACTTGTGGCACTAGTGGCACTGGTAGGACTGGTGGCGCTGGTAGGGCTGGTAGGACTAGTGGCACTGGTGGCGCTTGTGGCGCTAGTAGGACTTGTTGCACTGGTGGGGCTAGTGGCACTAGTTGGGCTTGTTGCGCTGGTGGCACTTGTTGGCATGCTGGTAGGACTGGTGGCGCTGGTGGCACTAGAAGTTGCCTCGTGGCACTGGTGGCGCTGGTTGGACTTGTGGCACTAGTGGCACTGGTAGGACTGGTGGCGCTGGTCAGTTGGTCTTGAAACTATGTTTATGTTATTGAAAAACGTCCTACCGACATTTCGTTTGTAGAAAGACTACCCACTAATATCTGGCTCATAGCAAGACTACCCACTAACATCTGGCTCATAGAAAGACTAGTTAGTGAGTGAGTGAGTGTGAGTTTAGTTTTACGCCACTTTTAGCAATATTCCAGCAATATCACAGCGGGGGACACCAGAAATGGGCTTCACACATTGTACCCATGTGGGGCATCGAACCCGGTCCCTCGGCGAGGCGAGCGAACGCCTGAACCACTCTGTTCCCCCACCACCCCTATAGAAAGACTACCTTCTAAGATCTGGCTAATAGAAAGATACCTACCCACATATGGCTTATAGAAAGACTACCTTCTAACATCTGGCTAATAGAAAGATACCTACCCACATATGGCTTATAGAAAGACTACCCACTAACATCTGGCTAATAGAAAGATACCTACCCACATATGGCTTATAGAAAGACTACTCACTAACATCTGGCTAATAGAAAGATACCTACCCACACATGGCTTATAGAAAGACTACCTTCTAACATCTGGCTAATAGAAAGATACCTACCCACCTCTGGCTTATAGAAAGACTACCCACTAACATCTGGCTAATAGAAAGATACCTCCCCACATGTGGCCTGTGGAAAGACTAACCTTTAACATCTGGCTTTTAGAAACACTACCTACTAAACTCAAGTTAAATAGAAAGATACCTACTAACATATGACTTATAGGAAGACTACCCACTAACATCTGGCTCATAGAAAGACTCCCTACTAACACCTGGCTTATGGCAAACCTAACTACTAACATCTGTCTTATAGAAATATGCCTACCCACATCTTCTTTACAGATTGACTACCTATTTTAGAAACACTACCTACTAAAATCAAGTTTTATAGAAAAATACCTATCTACATATGACTTACAGAAAGACTACCTACTAACACCTGGCTTATAGAACGATACCTACTAACATATGACTCATGGCAAGACTACCTACTAACATCTGTTTTATAGATAGATGCCTATCCACATCTTGTTTGCAGAACGACTACCCACTAAAATCAAGTTTTACAGAAAGATACCTATCTACATATGGCTTATAGAAAGACTATCTACTAACATCTTGTTTATAGAAAGACTACCTACTAACACCTGGCTTGTAGAACGATACCTTCTAACACCTGGCTTACAGAAAGACTACCTACTAACACCTGACTTATGGCAAGACTACCCACTAACATCTGGCTTATAGAAAGACTACCCACTAACATCTGGCTTATAGAAAGATGCCCACTAACATCTTGTTAATAGAACCTCTATCTACTTACACCAAGTTTTATAGAAAAGCAAGATACCTAGTAACATCTTGTTTATAGAAATACTACTTACTAACACCACGTTTTATAGAACGATACCTACCCACATCTGGCTTGCGAGGCGTAGTTACAGACGCCCAGATCGGCGTCGTACACAAGTGACGTGGGGCAGTTCACCGAAATAGTGTTTCCCTGTACGCAAATGAGGTATACATTGCATGACTCGCACGATGGGTATTGACCATCTGCTTGACCCTCGCAGTTTGGGACACAAGTTGGGTAGGCTGAAACAATGGCATGTATATTACATTACAGAGTTTGTGGTTTCATAAATGCGCCCGACTCACGTAAGTACTACTGCTGCACTTAATTCTTGTACGTTTGGGTAATCATTTGTGCTCGTAGCTGCATATCGTAAAATCATTCAGAGTGGTTTGTTAAAAGACTATGTGGTCTGAACGCTAATATGGGATGATTTGAAAAATATTCAACCAAAAACGTACTTGTAAATGTAATTTGTAGAGATGGGTGTGTTTGACTTACATGTGAGAGCTCGGAGTTGAAATGGGTGTGTTGGACTTACATGTGAGAATGTGCAGTAGAAATGGGTGTGTTGGATTTACATGTGAGAACTGGGAGTAGAGATGGGTGTGTTCGACTTACATGTGAGAGCTCGGAGTAGAGATGGGTGTGTTGGACTAACATGTGAGAACTGGGAGTAGAGATGGGTGTGTTGGACTTAGATGTGAGAGCTCGGAGTAGAGATGGGTGTGTTGGACTAACATGTGAGAACTGGGAGTAGAGATGGGTGTGTTCGACTTACATGTGAGAGCTCGGAGTAGAGATGGGTGTGTTGGACTAACATGTGAGAACTGGGAGTAGAGATGGGTGTGTTCGACTTACATGTGAGAGCTCGGAGTAGAGATGGGTGTGGTAGACTTACATGTGTAAATGCGCAGTAGAAATAGGTGTGTTGGACTTACATTTGAGAACTCGGAGTAGAGATGGGTGTGTTGGACTTACATGTGAAAACCTGTAGTAGAGATTGATTTGTAGGACTTACATTTGAGAGCTCGGAGTTGAGATGGGTGTGTTAGACTTACATGTTAGAATGTGCAGTAGAGGTTGGTGTGATAGACTTACATGTGA